CGTTCTCTTTGGAGCTCCAGTAACTGCCACAGAGGCCCCTGCACACCAGCCCCATGCTGGGAGCAGCAGCAGCAATGGATCTACAACCAACATTACCCACACAGCCACCCCACAGAGGAGACACTGCACGGCCACCTGAGACTGCGATGGGATCTCCAGCACAGACCAATCCCAGCCACAACTTGATTGCCCGGGACAATCAAGTCCCAGCAGTCACATGGCCTGAGGATAGGATTTTCATCCTCATGCCCTGAACTGTGGCCCCACTATGATCCTAACCGCCTCCCTGAAGATACAGCCTTATTTGGAAACAGTCTCTGCTGGTAACAGTCAATCTGAAATGAGCTCATCCTAGGTGGTGGGGCCCTAAATCCAAGGACTTGCATCCTTGAATGAGAAACCACACAGTGGGGAACACAGGAGAACCCAGAAGCAGAGACCTGAGGGATGCCCCTGCAAGCCGAGGATGCCCAGGATTCTGGCAGGGCCCTGGGGCTCGGGGGAGGAGTGCAGAGCACACCCCACAGCGCACATGCCTGCTCTCAGCGGGAGTCTGGGCTTCCGGCCTCCAGAACTCAGAGCGAACAGATTTCTGTCATGTGAAGCCATCCAGTCCGTGAACATTTATTACAGGGGTCGTAGGCGGGAACTCGAGGAAGAATACAGGAGCTGGAAGATTCTCTCGGCATCTGTGTGCAGTCCTGCCTATCAACCCAGCACGCCCACTTTCCCATGACGCACCTGAGTCTCAGGCAGGAGATGCCTTGATGAACAGGTGGAAGTTAGAAAATTAAACTTCACGTGGAGGGGCCATGAAACTCCCACAAAGCCTCACCCAGACTCCACCCTATTTGCATATTCATTAATCCATAGTGCCGTGGGAGTGATCCTTTCGGCTCTGGCTCCTAGCAGGCTGCCCTGTGGCCCACACTCCTGTGCGTCTGTGTACCCTCTTACACTCGCCCTCACCTGTGCACCTGGCGGAGGCTCTGCCATCTCATCTCCCAGGGAAAGGGACTTGGAGTAAGAACTGAGATTCCTATTCCCACAGCTGGTAGGCAGAGATGCAGCAGAGCAGTGTGATGACACTGCACACGAGGCGAGCTGGAGTGAAGACAGGATTCCGGTGACAAGGACCCCAGCTCATGATGGAACCAGTGCGATGGTGACCTTGAGGTTGGCGGCACCCGGTGCCTACGACACCATCAAAAGGTCCACAGCAGGGACCAGCACGGTGGCACAGAGGGCTAAGGGCCACTTGTGATGCTGGCATTCCATGTGACTGCTGGTTCTAGTCTTAGCAGTTCCATGTTAAGGTCCCTGAGAAAACAGAAGAAGATGGCCCACGTGCTAGGGCCTCTGACACCATGTGGGAAACCCAGTTGGCATTCTGGGCTCCTGGCTATCACAGCCATTTGAGGAATGAATCAGTGGATGGAACAGTGTGTCTTCTTCCTTTCTCTGTCTCCCTCTCTTGCTGTCACTCTCAAATAAAATAACTTTTTAAAAGATTACTGCAAATTCTTTAATAAAAGCAGGTCATTTAAAGACCAGGGAATATGTCATGATCTAGATTATGATCTGCCCACAATTCTGTCATATTAAAGTTCATAAAAACATTACTTTATAAAATGAAAAGGTCCCAGGGCCAGTGCTGAGGCACAGTGAGTAAAGCTGCAGTCCTGGGTACTCTATTTCCTATCCAGCTCCCTGCTAGTGCAAAAACAGCAGAAGACAGTCCAAGTCCTGGGGCCCAGCACTCACACAGGAAACCCAGAAGCTCCTGGCTCTGGCCTGGTCCAGCTCTGGCAAGTGAACCAGACAATGGAAGACCTCACTTTAGCAAGCCCTTTCAGATAAACACATAAAACCTCAAATAATAAAACAGATCGCTGCCCAGTGCCAGCTCACTGCCAGGCCCCTACACGCCTGTGAACTTCTCTGGGTCAAGGCCAAGCTACAATCCTGCCACCTGACCTACCAACTTCTCAGAGACCCGCCCCCTCCACGCAGCCAGCCCACACCTGCACTGCGCTTTACCCCACATCCCACACATCTCACATACACCAGGCACTGGCCTTGCTTCTGTGGCCAGCAGCTGTCCCCTCCCAGCAAAATGGAAACCCTGCGAGGGCTGAGATCAGCTCTCCCCAGCAGCCAACACTGAGCTTGGCAAACAGCAGATGCTGCCCCGAGGTGGGATGGATAATTGATGACCAAGCTGGGTGTGGCACGCTGTCCCTCCTCCCCTGGACACCTCAACCTCCCCAGGAATGAAGACAGAGCCAACCCAGGCCCCACTCAATCACAACCAGAGGACTTTCGCTGGGCACGGAGGGCTCTGTGGGAGGGCTGTGTGGTACTGTGAGCTGTGTCTGCCCTTACCCCACTCCTTCCCTCATTAGGCACTGGCTCTGGGCTGACGTCTTTCATATTTTAACACACTTATACATCTTTTCCTTTAAAAAACAAACAAGATGTTAAAAGGAATGGGCATGTCAGCCCACGGGCAGCTCCAATCCAGCTCCATTCAGGATCGGGATAGCTGAGCCAGCCTGAGAGACGCTAAAGCTGAGGTTTCATGGCAAGGTGACGCCTGCACAGCGTACCCCTCCCCGCTGCTCCCCCAGCTGAACCCACTGGCTCTCCTCACCCACTCCGGGAAATTTCTCTCTAGCCAGGCAATTCTGTTCTTGATTGTCGGTTCGGAAATCCCTAGAGCAGAAGCCTGGGGTCTATGGGAGTCCCCAAGAGCTGAGCTCTCTCCACTGCCCTCCTCCCCACCACAGGGGGTGGGGAGAAGTAGGCACTGAGCCAGGTTGCCACAAAGCAGGGTCAACCAGCCCTGGGCAGGCCCCAGGCGGTGGCAGTGAGCTCATCCCAGCCCTTAATTATCCCCCTGGCTAATAAACATCTGAGAACCTGCAGCCTATTCCACAGGGAGGACCCCAGGGACACTGGGCCAGATGTCAACATGGAAGGACAAGGAAGGAAATGGCTCTGGAAGAGGCAGGAAGTGCAGCTCCCTGCTCCTCCCCAGTCAGGGCCAGAAACGGGGAGGGGGAGCAGCAACTTGGCTGCTGGCCCTTCCAAGGGTGAGGGCACAGCTCTAACCAGCCCAGCCCTGGGTGCAGTGCTTTTGCCATCAGCATTATTATTCACAGTTCCTGGTCATCCTAGACCAGGCTATGGCAGCTTCTGCAGGTCCCCTGTTCTCAGGACCTCCCTCCTGACGTGGGTTTCTTGAGACAGTGATGAAGATGAGGCCCCAAGGCACAGAGGGCTCAGAGGGGTGTGACAACTTGCCCATGATAAACCCCTTGAGCAGGACCCTTGGAGCATGCCCCACATCGGGGACCTGGGATGGGTGGGAGGCGGGGTGGGGCTTCTCCCTTTGTCTCTCCCCTTACCCCAGATACAGCAAAAGTAATAATGTGGAAACAATGGTCTTACCCACTTTCTTGTAGCCTTTGATCCTTTGTGCCCTAATCAACTATGTAAAAATTATCAAAATAAAATGATTACCAAAAAAAACCTTGCCCAAGATGCAAATAGGGTTCAAGGTCACTGCTCAACCTATTCCTAACGCTCTCAGTGAGGGCTGGGCAGGTGACTTCCCAGCCCTGTGGGTCAACTCATGGCCATCCCCACTCCTCAGAGAAGAAGGCAGCACAGAGAGGACAGGCTGCTTTCCCAAAGCCACTCAGCAGAGAAAGTGAGACTGGAGCCCGGGCAAATCTGCCAACTTTTCCCCATCAGCACCACTTTGCCCCCAAAGCGTCCGCCCTGCCATCACGCTGCCAGCTCTGGCTCGGATCCTAGCCCACTAATGAGGCTTTGCTCCACTTGTGGCTGGGACCGCGCTGGCCACCGAACAGGCTTTGTGGGAAGAACCTGCTTCCTGCCACTCTAGCCGCCAAAGCATGACTGCCAGCCGCCAGGCCCCAGTAGCTAGCTGCAACTGGGCTTCCCTCTGTGGCCCTGTCCCTCATTCCCACTCACACCTTGACCTCCTCCTGGGCCAGGCCAGTCCTGGAGTGCCATGGCCAATCATTGACTCCACACACATTCGTTCAGCCAGAACCTTACCATGTCCATGATTCTAACCTGCCAGGGATTCTGCTAGAAGCCAGGAAAGCTCTTAGCTGTGGACAAGGTCCCTGCCTCTGCTCCCAGCCCGTCCTGTCCCTCTGGGCCTGGCAGGACCCGCCGCTTTAATGGGCCTCCGCTGGCTCTGGGCAGTGTCCCTCGGCTAGGCTGCCCTCTGCCAGTGGCCAGAGGCCCTGGGCTGGACACACAGGCCTGGCCTCAGCTCCTCAGGGCCGACCTGCCTCACCTGGGAGCTGTGGATATGCACTGTGGTCACTGGGCAGGGCAGGGGACCGGCATGTGCTAGGAGTCTAAGCCGGGGTTGTGACATTCAAAAAGAACCACGATTACAGACTGTCCCGGGACTGGAAGCTTCTGGCTCCCGGTTGTTCCAGAAATCTCTGAAGTAGCAGGCACGTGGGTGGGGACTGACTGACAGACCGTACCGACCGAAACAATAAGGGAGACAACTGACCAACAAGCTGCTTTCTGGCCAAGCAGTCCCTGGGGGCCGAACCTTCCTCCGGCTCCTGCCCCGGGGTCCTGCCCCAGCTCCGGGGCCCTTACCTGCCCAGCGCCGCCGTCTCCCCGTGGGTGCGCGGGCGGGAAGAGGGCAGCCGGCTGCCGGGGCTCGGGGGATCCGGCTGGCCGAGGCAGGGGCGCCTGAGGCGGCGCCCGGAGCCCACGTTCCCGGCCGGCACGCGCCCAGGCCCCGCCGCCCCCCGCGCGCCGCCCGCTGTCCCGCCCGCGCCGGCCCCGAGCGCACGTGACTCCGCCCCGGCCCGCCCCGCCCCGCCGTCCCAGCGCGGGCGCCCATTGGCCACGCCGAAGATCCCCGCCCCCGTCCGGGGCGGAGCCTGAGGCGCCCCGCCCGCCGCAGAGCGGGGCTCGTGCGTCCCGACGGTGCGCGGCGGCCGGACCGGGCTGGCGGAGCCGGGCCCGCGGGGCTGCTGCGGGGCCAGCGGGCCGCGCCATGGTGAGCGGGCTGGGCCGGGGCCGGCGGGCGGGCGGCCTGCGGGAGGGCGAGGGGCGGCCCGGCCGACGCGGGGGCCGGCGGTGGCGGGGAGGGGGCTTCGCGGCGGGGGAGGGGCGGCCCGGGCAGGGGCGCGGCCGGCGGGGAGGGAGGGTCGGCTGGGGGGCCGCGCCCGCGGCGGGGGCTCTTTGTCCGCTGCGCTGGAGAGATCGGGACAAAGGAAGCGGCGGGGGGGCGGAGGCCGCCGTGCGGGGAGCAGGGTTCCCGGTCATCCCCCAATCTCTACCACCCCCTTTGCACGCCCACCCTCCCCCAGCCAAGCCCCGCCAAGTCCGCGCCCGGGAGCCGGCTGCCCAGGGGGCTCCCTGGGACACTTCGAGGGTGTTAAGAATTCCTTCTAGGGTGAGGGTCCTGGCAAGCCCCCCTGGCGGGTTCCAGGGACTGGGGGAGTGCAGAGCGGGGAATAGGGGTCCCGGAGACGTTTGGTGCCCGTTCGCGGGTGGGGAAACTGAGGCAGGGCCGCAGAGTCCGGGTGCCTGGCTCCGTCGGTGCCTGCTGCCTGCGCGGCGTGGGCAGGACCGGGTCGCTGCAGCTGTCGTGCCCGCCCCAGCCCCGCCACCACCCCACCCCACCCGGGGCTGGGCCCCCTGCCTCCATGCCACAGTGCTCACTGCTCCCGCGCGCAGGGATCACGGCAGCCCCGGCAGGGTTAATGAGAGGGTGCGTGGAGCTTCTGGCGCGGAGCCCGTGGCCGCCCGCGCTCTCGCTTGTCATCCCCAGGTCCCCAAGCGTCTAGTCTGCCTGGGGATGAGCAGCCTGGGGTCAGTCAGGACCCAAGACCTGTCAGGCTCTGGGATGAAGAAGTAGGGGCAGGGAATGTGGTGACATTTTAGGGTCTGGATTGAAACCTGGTGCTAGGCGCTCGGGGGTGCAGACGTCTGGGTTGGAGTTTGTGTGCATCTGTCTTGGAGCTGTGTGACCTTGGACAATTGCTTTAACGTCTCTGATTCTCGCTGCGTATGCCAGCTGGAGGGGTGTCTGGAGGTGCCTGTGTCTGGCACACAACCTTTGCCATCCCCAACTTTTCTCCTGTGCATCCCAAAGTTGTGGGGCCCACAGAGGCTGGTCCCTGGGGCAGCCTGCGGGAGTGCCTGGAAGGTGATTCCCAGGCCTGGGCCACAGGAGACCCTGACTGACCTTGGGACAGTCCCTCAGGTCTGCCAGCTCCTGCTTCCCCTTCTGCTGCTGGGAAACCCCTGGAGGGGGGACTGGTTACGGGGGCAAGTTTCCTCTTCCAGGGGAGGGGCTCTGAGCTGGTGCCCAGGCCCCCTGCCTGCCTGCTGTCCCCCCTCCAGCCGGTGGAGAGCAGAGGCTGCGTCCTGGAGCCCCCCAGGCCTTCCACCTGTGTCCTGCCTTTGACTGGCAGCGCCCTCCCCTCCCCACACTCCTGCTTTTCCTAAGAGCTCACCACCCCAGCCCCAGGACTGGAAATGCTTCTGGTTTGTGAAGACCCTGCCACCCCTGGAAGGGCACAGCCTTGCTGGTTGGCAGTCTTGACGGGTGGCTTTGTTAGGGGGGGCCAGAGACATGGCTTGTGGGGGACAGTTCTGGGACCCTCTGGGATAAGGTGCTTGGTCGTTGGATGGTGGGGCAGCTCCCCCAGCTTGCTTCAGGAGCACCCTAGGAGCTGCAGGCTGCAGGCGGGGCTGGCAGAGCCTAGCAGTCCTGGTGATGTGCCCAGTTCAGTGAGGAGGAGACAGCAGATCCCGAGGGAAGAAGCTGTTTGCAGCCCGGTGTCTGGGCAAGGCCCTGTGCCCTTCTGGTCCTGGGGTACGGGCTCCGAGGGCTCCTGGTGGCCCCCACAGAGACATGGCTGAGTACTGGCCAACCTGGTAGTCCTAGGACCCTTGTGTTTGCACATTTCTTCTCATTCACCCTCATCACACTGCAGCTCCTGTCTGCCCACTCAGCCTAGAGCATGTGCAGTGGGTTGAAGGTCTGGCTGGAAGAGCTCCTAGGGCAAGTAGAATAAGGGACTCTGTCCCCATGTGGAAGTCCTGGAGAAGATGGGGTGGGGAGCTGCATAGGAGGAGACTGGGACCAAGGAGACCCCCCTCCCCGTGTGCTGCGGGTAACTTTCTGGCAGGTTCATACCCAGCTGCCCCTGGAGCAATGTGCAGGCCACCCTGGGCTTGGGAGATACTGGCACACCAGCCTGGGGGAAGTCAGGGCAGGCTTGTGGCCAGGGCCGGCTGGTGCTCCCTGGGGCTACTCGGCCCCATGTTCCAGTGGAGTCCTTTGATGGTGTGCAGGGAGCTGTAGGTGAGCCCAGGACTCAGACCTGTGGGATTGCAGGGGGATACTCGGGGCGAGGTTATTACATGTTTAGGGGACCTTCATGACCTTGACTTTGAGTGCCAGGCTTTGTCCTTCTCAGGAGAGCCAGTGACTAGGGGCCACAGCAGGTGCTGCTGGTCACAAAAACCATAGTGCCTGGCTGGAGTGAGGCCTGGCCCTCCGCACCACCACCCCTGTCCGCTGCTTCCAGGGTCAAGTCCAAGCAAGCTCTTTGCTCCTCAATTTCCTCATCTGTGAACTGTTCTGTGACTGCCTGGAGGTGGCCCAGGATTCCCCAGCCCTCCCTGTCCTGTGGTCTCTGCTGGAGCGGATGACCTTTGTTCAGAGGGGCCCCAGCAAGTCCCAGGAGAGACACAGCCGGCAGGTGGCGGCCAGCCATACCCAGGGGACCCGGAGGCTGGCTGTCTTCAGCTTCCTTCTGGGCTGTGCTGCTCCTCCCTGCCCAGGGTGGATGTGAAGACAGCGGCCCCTCCGCTGACTGAGGTCAACCCATAATCCACTGACGCCCGATGCTCCTGCCCCCACGCTTGGCCCACAGCCTGACCTCCTGCCAGCTTCTGGCTTCCCTGAGTCAGCTGGGATGCGTGTGGGGACCTGCATCCAGGGTATAGCCTGGGGATCCCCCACTGGGACCCCCCCACGAGACGGGGAGGTCTCCTCTGCTTCATCACCACTCCCAGCCTGTAATACTCAGTACCCACTGTGTGTAGGTGCCAGGCCAGAGGGGACAGTGCCCCCCTCTTGCACTGTGGGAGGGAGACTGCAGCCTGCTAAAGACAGCCTCTGATCGGGGAGGATTCCAGGGAGCAGAAGGGGGAGTGAGATTGCAGTATTCTTGGAGTGAGAGGAGGCAGGCAGAGCCCAGGTGGTCTGGGAAGGCAGCCTGGAAGAAGTGCCTTCTGACGCAGTTGTGACTCACAAGAAGGAGCCAGCCTGGGACAGGCGGGGAAGAGCACAGGCGCCAAGGAGGAGCTGGGTTTGCAGGGAAGGACATGCAGAAGTCAGGAGAGGCGGGGACCTTGGAGCTGCTTCTGAGGCCGGGGAGGGGCCGAGCGGGGAGTGACATGGTCAGAGTTTTGAAAGTTCAGTTCCCAGGAAATAGCCGCAGGGTGAAAGAAGGGACAGGCACATGCATGGAGTAGACACTGTGGCCTGGTCACCACTGCTGCTGGACATGGGGTTGGGGCAGTACAGTCTTGAGGTGTCACCTGTCCCTCAGGGTCTGTCCGTACCTCTCTCTCATCAGTTCCTGGGCTGTGGGTCCCTCCTGTGCTGCTCAGCTGTCTGCCCGGGCACCCCTCCCTCCAGTTCCATTGTTTGATTTCTCCCTTCCTGCCCTCCCAACAAAATGCCCCCAGCCCCCAACACACACTTCCCCTTTGGAGTTGATGCTCACTTGCCTTCCTGTCTAGAGCCTCGTGGGAGGGCAGGTGCCCCAGCAGCCTGTGGGGAGCTGAGGTCCAGGGGAGAGGGGCAGGCAGGTTCTGTCCTCCCTGCAGGACAAGTGTGGGGAGAAGGAGGGGCATAGGAGGCCTGAGAGGGGTGCTGGGCGAGGCTGTGGGAGCAGCCTTGTGGCTGTGCTGAGTGGCAGTGTGGTGAGCTGATGCACCCCTGAGCCAGTGAGGCAGCTGCACTCCGGGTGCCACAGCTGCAGCCCTAGGCCACCAGAGGGGATTCAAAGGTCCCCAGGGTGGGGCTTGGAGCACAGTCACCCTCGCCCTGTTGAGCAGTAAGGAAGAAAAGACAGGGCAGGGCATGGCCCCTGGGTAGGATGTGTCAGCTGGGACCCTGCAAGTTGGCAGCAAAGCAGCATGCTGAGGGCCTGGCACCCTCCTGTCCATGGCCCCTTCGCAGATGCGGGCTGCGGTGCCTGGACAAGACTCAGGGCTTGGGGAGTGAGGAGCGCTTCTGATGAAGGCTGCTGTTGCTCAGGGTTGCAGCAGGCTTGATCCTGTTTGGAGGGAAATCCTTACTTCAGTGCTTCTGTCTGTGTAGATGCCAGTCTTAAAAAGTGAGAAGGGCTGGTGCCTGTGGTGTAGTAAGCTAAGCTTCTGTCTGTGCTGTCAGCATCCTGTAAGGGCATAGCTGCCAGTCGAATCTTGGCTGCTCCGCTTCCCATCCAGATCCCTGCTGGTGGCCTGGTAAAACAGCGGAGGACGGCCCAAAGCCTTGGGACCCTGCACCCATGTGGGAGACCCGGAAGTTTGTGGTTTCCAGTTTGTAGCTTTTGAGGAGTGAACCAGCGTATGGAAAATCTGTCTCTCCTATCAGTAACTCTGGCTTTCAAATAAAAAATCTTTCTTAAAAAAATAGGGGAAAAAAAGTGGTTCTTCCTGGGTGTGTGGACTGCCTGTCCAAATCCATTAAAAATTTTTATTTATTTATTTAAAAGAATTACAGAGAGGGAGAGACAGAGATCTTCCATCTGCTGGTTTACTCTGTGGAACTTCTTCCGGGTCTCACACACGAGTGCAGGGGCCCAAGCACTTAGACCATCCTCTGCTGCTTTCCCAGACCATAAGCAGGGAGCTGGTTCAAAAGTGGAGTAGCTGGGACTCGAACCAGTACCCACTGGGGGATGTGTGGCACTAGCACTGCAGGTTCCACTATGGAACAGCATCACCCCTCCCCACCTTTCCCCTGACCAGGTAGCCAGGTGTGGGAGGGCATCAAGTGAGGGGATGCCCAGGGATCTGCCAGCGTCAGCAGCCGCGAGTGGCAACAGTGGCAAAGCCTTGGGGTGTCATCCACAGTGAGCCCAGGAGGGTGGAGAGGGAGACTGCTGTTTGGGCTCGGCAGCCCTCACACGTGGCCCACAGCCTCACTCCAGGGCCCAGCAGATCCAGAGTGGGTTTTGAGGCCACATGGTGTGGAGGAACTGTGTGGGGTATGTAGCTGGAGAGGAGGTAGGCCCCATCTCTTGAGTACCTGACATGGACTGAGCCGTTGGGGTCCCCCTTCCCTTCCTCTGCCTTCACTGTCGAGCACACCCCACAGTGGGGCCGCCCCAGTCCTCTCCTGCTGCACCCAGTTTGCAATGCCCTGAGGTGGCACCCTGCGTTTTGTGGGGTTGCTGTCTGTGCCCTAGATCCTGCTCTAGCCCTGAGCTGAGAAGTGCTAAGGGAGCCAGGGGGTGGGTATCTCGCTCTTCTCCCTATCTGGAACCTAATGCCTGGCCTCAGTCTACCCAGAAGACCACTGGCGCCTCCACCCTCTCCCCCTCCTGGAGCTGAGGCCTCCCACACAGACTGTTGGCTGCACCCTCACAGCTGTCCCCCAAGGGATCTCTTTATTTTTTTCTTTTAGAGTTTTTGTTGTTGCTGTTTTATGTATTTATTAGAAAGTCAGATTTACAGAGAAGAGAGACAGAGAGAAAAGATCTTCCACCCATTGGTTCACTCCCCAAGTGGCTGCAATGACTGGAGCTGAGCTGTTCTGAAGCCAGGAGCCAGGAGCTTCTTCTGGAACTTCCAGGCAGGTGCAGGGTCCCAAGGCTTTGCACCATCCTCAACTGCTTTCCCAAGTCACAACAGGGAACTGAATGGGAAGTAGAACAGCCAGGATATTAACTGGCACCCATATGGGATCCCATTGCATGCAAGGCTGCTGCCCAGGGCCCGCATGAGGACTTTCAAATCCTTTATTTCTGGTCACTTTGAAGCCACTGGCTCCTCTCAGCCCTAAGTGGTTACTGAACACCTCCCTGTCAGGCCAGAGTATCTAGAAACCTACACCATCAGCAGGGGATGGGACAACATCCTCAAAATCCTGGTAGACTTTAAAGTTCAGTAAATCTGTAGGGCTGATTTTGAAGTCAGTTGTTTCGCATGCCTTGCTGATGATATCATAAGTCTGCCAGGCCTTCGACAGAAGCGCCAAACTGCATCCCAGGGTCCTGTATTCCCACCCCCGGCCATGTCTCAGGCTAGTGGCTGTGAGGGTAACTTGGTGTCTGGAAGCATAAATGCTTAGGCAGTAAACGCAGACAGACTGGTGACCATCGGGAGACACAGAGGAACAGTGGAAGGAGTCTGGTGTGCCAACCTGAGCCTGCAAGCCACCATTTGTACCCTGAGCAGAGTACCCGGGGTAGCCTCATCTTGCTTTTTTGTCTTTCAGGACTCTCATGTCCAGCCTGCATCCCAGCCTCACTGAGCCAGCCACCCTGAGAGCTCCTGACCCTGGAAGCCCCCAGCACTGACCATGTCGATAATGGACCACAGCCCCACCACGGGCGTGGTCACCGTCATTGTCATCCTCATCGCCATCGCGGCCCTGGGGGCCTTGATCCTGGGCTGCTGGTGCTACCTGCGTCTGCAGCGCATCAGCCAGTCCGAGGATGAGGAGAGCATCGTGGGGGATGGCGAGACCAAGGAGCCCTTCCTGCTGGTGCAGTATTCGGCAAAAGGACAGTGCGTGGAGAGAAAGGCCAAGTTGATGACGCCCAACGGCCCGGAAGTGCACGGCTGATCTAGGATGCGAGGCTCCTGGTCCAGTTTGCAGCCCGCCAAGAGGTGCTGGGAGGGGCAGAACCACATGGATGAGCACACGGGTTGACACCTGCTGGCATGGCCTCGACAGGCTTTGTCTTCGCATGCACTGACTCCCGGGGCGGGGGCCCAGACATCCTGGGTGTCCCCTTGGCCTCTTGGCAGGGCTGCCCATTGCAGGCAGTGGGCAGGCCTGACCTTGCCGGGGCATATAGCCCCGTAGCGCTTTTGTTACTTGAATGTTGAGCTGAGCCTGTTTCTGACGGAGCTACTACTGTAACGCGTGAACTAACCTGTGAACTGTACATAGGCCCCCAGAAGCACGTGCTTAAGCCTCACTGCTGATTTTTAAAATACCGCATAGGGCATTCTGGGCGGGTTTACCAAGGACTGCAGCTGGCAAACAATGAGCCGAGTTGAGGTCGCGGCTGGTCGCAGACCTCCTTAGGCCTGCATTGCTTGGGGGGCCAGGGTGGGGTGCCACCGTGCAACCGGGGGTTTTGTACAGAGAGGGTGTGACCAGCTGGGGAGCTCTGGTCATTTCTGCTTGATCAAAGGAATGGAGCCACACGCACCCCCTCCCGCTTTGTCCAGAAACATACAGCTGTTACGCAGCAGTTCCTGTTGATAGTGGAGTTTACTGCAAGGAAGCTATGTGCCCGCCTGGGAGCCAGTGACGGACAGGCTGGTCCCGAGGCTGCCAGGCTCCCTGGTAGCAGAGCAGTCTTTTTTGCCCCCTGGTTTTGCGCATGCTGAGTGCCCCTTAGTGCCAGCTTTGCTGCCACTGCCCTGGCCTTTCAGCTGACCCCAGGGCTCAGGGCGTGCTGCTTTCAGTACCCACAGAGAGGGAAATCTGGTTTCGGTTTTTGTATTTAATATTTTCTGCACTGGATGGGTGAGAGGATGTGTTAACTGTTTTCTTACTCTTCCCTTTGCAAGTCAGCTTCCTTCCGCCCTGTGCTTCCTGCCCACCTGCTGGGCTCGGATTTCACTTTCCCCAGGGGGTCTCTGTGAACAAGCTAGAGTCCTCCCCCTCCCCACCACCCCATGCACAAACCTGGCTTTGAAGGCACTGAGTGTCTACGGGACATTTCTCAGGTGCCATCAGGCAGTCCCACCCAGCCTGTACTTGGGGTGTAGGGTGGGGTGGGGCAGGGGGTGGATTCTGAGTGCAGCTCTTGGTCCCGCACAGCATACTGGCTGTGCTTCCAACCAGCCTGCTTCTCCCAAAGTGTCTCTCGTGTGCACTTCTGTGAGCTTACCTTTACACTTGGCATCCCACCCCTGTAAGCTCATTCTCTGCTGTCACTGTTACAGATCGGTGTCAGTATGCAGTAGTAAGCAGAGAGCAGGTCGGCACAGCCAGCCCACGCCGGACCGTGAGGTGCTGGCTCTTCGCACTTGAGCCGCCTGCAAGCAACTTGGGCAGGGAGCCCAGTGCTCTGTCCATCTCTGACCCTTATCCCAAGTCTCCACTAAAAACAAAACCATGTCAAACTAAATCCACTCTCTAGAGCCCTCGGGGGTGGTGGGGATAGGAAGCAATGGGGGGAGGGACCTTTAAGCCAAATAGGGGTAGGAGGCGGCAGCTGATGAGGCTGTGGGAACCTGGGTAGTGAGGAGACCCCACGAGCGCCTTCCTGCAAACTTCAGGCAGCTCTTTGGTGCCTGGGCCCCTCCTGGAGCTGCCCAGCCTGTGGGGGAGGACCTGGGAGGGAGAAGAGTGCCCAGGGAAGGCAGACCCTGCTGGTTCTAAGAGGCCTGCATTTCAGTGTGCTTCATTCCTCTTGGGTTGGAGAACTTCCAGGCTCACTACCTCTGCTTACCGCAGCCGAGGCTGCCGCTGTGTGGGGTTGGGGAGGGTACTACCTTCGGGCTCCTGACCCCGGGATTTGATTGTTGCTCACCTGTAGCTTCTGCCATGCCAGTGCAGAATGGTTCTGGAATAATTAAAGGTCACTTTGTCGTCATGTTCATTGTGGATGTTTTCTTGCCACCCCCCTTACTACCAGGGATATCCTTGGCACTTGGACGGGGCTGGTGAGAGCATGCATGCGCATGCAACACCCTGGCCACACTGGAGGCCAGTGCCCATGCTGCAGGAGTGGCTGGCCAGCCCCACAATGTGTGTACTGTTTGTGGGTATCAATAGCTGTTCTCTTTAGCACAGACACCAGGGTCACTCACATGGCTCGGTACGTCAAGGTCTCTCTGAATTCTTTCTCAAAAGCCCAACTGTTGTGTTGGAGTTTTCTGACTTGTCAAGAAATTAACCTCTCATCCCTCCTGTCATCTCTGAGGCAACAGTGATGTGTGGGGAGGGCGCACTTGGCACCGAATCACTCAGACATGGACTGGTTTTTCAGTTCTACAAATGCTCTGTGTGACTGCATGGTCTGGAAGCCCCGTTTGTCGACTATGCAGCCAGAGGGAATGACAGCACTCCTGTTTAACACAAGCTGAATGACATTCAGTCTGATTTTCCAGACCACTGAGAAAATCTTTATTTACAATAAATTTCAGTGAAATTTGCATAAATATATTCTCAATGTTCCATTTTCACCTCTGATTTCTTCAAGTCATTTAAAAAACTACTCTGTCCTGTTCTCGTTGCTCCTCTCAGATGTCAGCATGGAGCTGATGTTGGAAGGTGAAGGGGTGTCACCAGGTAAGTGGGGGTCGCCTGCGGGCTGGGGGTGCTCAGGGCCTTCCTCTGCCAGGGAAGCTGCGTCTTCCACTGCATCCTTGCCCTCCAGCTTCCGCTCCATGCTGGCCACCAGGATCTTGAGCCATGCGTTCTCGGCCAGCAGCGTCTCCGAGGCGTCGGCCAGCTCCTGCAGCTGCCGGGCCAGCTCCCCGAGCTCGTGGCTCTTCTGCTCGTGCAGGGCCTGCAGCTGCTGGCTGTGCTGCTGGAGCAGGCTGTGTTGCTGCTCCAGCGCCTGCTGCTCCCGCTGCAGCCTGTGCTCGTCCCGGCGGGCACGTGACAGCTGCACCTCCACCTGCACTTGCGCCCGCTGCAGGCTGCCGATCTCTGCCCTCAGTTTCTGGATCTCCTTCTCCAGGTGGGAGATGTGCCTCTGCTGTAAGACTGCCTCGCTCTGGAGACATTCTTTGGTAGGAGGGTTGGCCACATCCTGGCCAGGGTAGGCAGGAACTGAGTGATGCAGAATGAACCGCAGCAGGTTTGGGAGTGTGATGGGGAGGTCTTCGGGGTACTTCACACTTAGGTCCTTTCTAGGGAGAAAGTGGGAAGGGTCAGGGGTCAGAGTCATGCCAACACATTCCGTCCTAGCTCCGGTGCCCCGGGGACAAGAAAAGCCATCCCAGGAGTTTACTGCAAGAAGTAAAGCACTGCTGAGCAAAGGCCTCCCCACTGAGACCCAGACATTGTCCTGTGACCACAGTGGCTCCCAAGCATGTGCCTGTTCCTAAGGCCAGGGCTGCTTGTGGACTCAGCCTGCCCGGAAACAGGAGACCCCAGGCCTAATGCCAGGGACACAGAACCCAGCATGGTGTGAGCAGGGGGCCCACGTGTGCCCTGCAAGGCCCAGTGGCAGTGTCAGCAAGGGTGTTCTTGTGGTGACTCGTCCATGATACTCTTTTGTAGCCACCAACTGTGCTGACTGAAATAGAGAAAGACCTGACACCCACGTGGCCTGTTTGTTTAGTGAGTGGAACGTGATCTGGGCCCGCAGACAGACCGAGGCGCTCTGCTGAGTTAAGGCTGCCTGGCCCTGGGAACACAGGAAGGCAGCTGCGGAGGGGGTTTCCCCAGCTGTGTTTCAAGTCCTAACTCAAAATACTCCTTTTCAGAACCTGTCTTTTCCTTGTCTGACAGCCAAAGTTTCTCTCAGAGGCACATTTACTAGTGCATGCAAAAATCTGGCTATAATAATTGAAAGGGCCAACTTCAGTGTTTCTGCCTGAGCTGGGCCAACAGGCAGGGCTGACCCCTCCAGGCCAAAGACGTGAAGGTCAGGAAGAGGGTCTCCAGGCCTGGCTGCCATTTTCTCCCCAGGGGCGTCTCAGCGCACCAGGAACCCAGGCCTGTAATTGGGGGCAGTGAGAGTGTCACATCCCTCTCATTCCAGGACCAAATGAAGTGAATGCTGCTTTGAAACAGGTTGTTTCTGTGAAAACTATCATCACCAGCTCACACTCCATCTCCACGCAAAGCCAGAGACCCGGGACCTAACAAAGACCAAAAGATTCCAGTAATGTGTAGCTTTTTTCATGTCAAGATTGGAAATGGGGGGCCCGACATGGTAGCCTAGTGGCTAAAGTCCTTGCTCTGCATGCACCAGGATCCCATATTGGCGCTGGTTTGTGTCCCAGCGGACCCACTTCCCATTCAGCTCCCTGCTTGTGGCCTGGGAAAGCAGAATACAGCCCAAAGCACCAGCATGGGAGACATGGAGGGGGCTCCTGGCTTCGGATCGGCTCAGCTCTGGCTGCTGCAGCCACTTGGGGAATGAATCAGCAGATGGAAGATCTGCCTTTCTGTCTCTTCTCGATGTATAGCTAACTTTCCAATAAAAAAAAATCAGAAATACTAGTCTTATCCACTTTCCTGTAGCCCTTGAACCTTTTTACCCTAATTAATTATGTAAAGATTGTAAAAATAATAATAATAATAAAATAAAAAAATCAGAAATGGGGGCCAGCATTGCAGCACACCAGGTTGAGTCACCACCAGCTACACCAGCATCCCACAGAGGTGTGTGAGTTTGAGTCCAGCTGCTTTCCTTGTAATGTAGCACCCTGTTCGCATGCCACAAAAGGCAGTGGGTGCTCGCCAATGTTCCAGGGCCTCTACCACCCAAGTGCAAGATGTGGCTTCATTCTGGCCCAGCCCCAAACGTTATAGTCATCTGGGCAGTGAACTAGCACACAGAAGGTGTCTGTCTTTCTGCGACTCTGCCTTTCAAGTAAATAGACACATTTTTAAAATAAATAAAATCACATATTCCCATTTTTATTCAATGTTTCTGGAACTGTTCAGTTAACTTTTAAAAAGCATTTAAGACTTTCAGGCAGTATTAACGAGAAAGCACGTGGATGCTCGTATGTAAATTGTTGGGTAAAATAGTGTGAGAAAGACTGAACCACCCCCTGCATTGAAGCACTATTTTCTTTAGGTGGGGGCAGTTGGCCATTGAAACGCTCCTCAGCGACAAGGAGGGCCTGTGTGGTAGATGTCCCGGAAGGCTAAGCAAGCTGGACGAGCCTCATGCTGCTCTGTCGAGCAGGAGCAGTCCAGGGAGGAGCCGAGGTCCACCTCCCCAGGAAGGCGGCGTCCAACCATGAAGATGCCTGACTGAAGACATGCACAGGGCAAGGACAGTGACGAATATGTCACCTCCACGAATCTCCCCGGGGCGGACTAAAATGCCTGCCACTGCTTCTAGGCTGCAAGGACAGTCACAGCAAACAGCTTCTATAAGAGTACAGGGGTAGAAAGTCCCACTGCTGGAGGCAGGCGTTTGGCTGAGCAGTTTAGATACTGGTAGCAGCTTCGCCTGAGTTTAATACCTAGCTTTGGCTCCTGACTCCAGCTTCCTACTGATGTGTACCCTGGGAGGTCACAGTGATGGCTTCAGTTACTGAGGCCCTGCCATCCACGTGGAAGTCAGCTTCTGGTCCCCAGCTCCTGGACGGACATTCCTGTGACCTGCAGGGAGGGACTGGATAACGCTGGGAAGAAGCCCGGCTCTTCCTGGGTCCGCAGCAGAGTTCCCGGGGGGAATGTAGCCCGCTGCCATGCCCAGAGCACCTGTGTCGCCACATCTCACAGACTGATGTGGCTTCAGGCTGGGAGAAGAGGCTCTGAGAGGCCATTGTGTAGGGCCAGGCCCAGGACAGGCTCCTGCAGAGTTCTTAGAGAACGACACCTGCTACTGCCAACAGTTTGCAAGGAACATGAAAAGCCACAAGCACCTGCAGGGTGTTCATGGCCCTCACTCCTCCGCAGTCACACTCCGAGGCCCTGACATTCTCCCTGCTGCACACTGCATGTGCAAGTTGGTGTTTTATCTCGGCGCATGTGTAACTTTATGTCCTCACTAAAAATAGCATATGCAAGCAAACTGTGAGAAAGGTCTCACTACATGTGATCAAACAGCCCTTCTCATTTCCTCTTTTGCAAGCTGCCAGCTCCTGTCGTCCGCCTGTGGAGACCTTCTGAGTGAGCCAGCTAATGATGCACTCATTTTACTTCTGACTCCTGCTTATTTTTAGGAAATGGGAAGCATTCCATTTTAAGGCTCTGAGGTGCTGGGTGAGCAGGCGCTGTTCACTCAGACACAATTGGCCTGTCTTCTCCCACTCTGAGTTTCCCTTGCGGCCCCTCCTAACTGAGGGAGCCCAAGAAGCTGCAGGGATGGCCAGCAGCTCACCTCCATGTTCTTCCTACTAGGTAGCTTCACCATGACCCCGACACACCACCCTGCACCCTGTTCTGCTGGGGCATGTCTCTCCTACATATTCATTTACCTCACTCACTGAGAGAGACTTTATGCAAAGGGGGCTAGGTGCTAGGACTGCAATATGTCCCCCGATGTTTGCAATTCAAAAATTATGTGTCATTAAACTGCATGCCCAACTGCTGTCCCACATAGAGGAAGCTGCTGGCATTATCATCTGTGATGTCATGATGATGCATCAATTCAAACACCCTGAGCAGGATAAAGGGTCATCCTGGTGCAGCCAGAAGCAGGGGGTGAGTCACATCCCATTTCCAGGGTGTGCTCTGACAGGACTCTGCCCCAATGGCAAGGATGCCAGCAAAGCTGCTGGGAGACAACAGGCAAGGCCCAAGCAAATGGCTCAACAGACAGGAAGGAAGCTCACTCAGTAGGAGCACAACAGAGCAGTGATGGCAACGGCCTGCCAACAGGAGGCAGCAGATTGAAAGCGCCGAGACCACACCTGTGGGTCAGTGGGTCAGGCCCTCCTTAAGGGCTCCTCAGAC